ATAAATAGGGTAAACATCATCCTCTCAAATCACTTCAAAAATCTTCTACAAACTCTTACTCTCTACAATCACCAAACCTCCAATACTCTATCCATGGCATCATCATCTCGCAGAATTACTGGTAAGAGATCAAGGGCATCATCATCTGCCTCTATTTCGGTCACAGCTGTATCATTGGTTCCACCATCTCTTGCCGACAGTTTCAACAAGGATATTGGTAAAAGAGGGGTCGTTAAGCAACATGCATTCTACCGACTCACGGCGGAGCGCATGCATCTCACCGAAATCATATCTCTGCTAGAGTTTCAAGGAATTATCAACTTCTTAGAATGCAATTCCAAGTACAGTAAAGATTTGGTGCGTGTATTCTACACATGCATCCATGACAAGTTCTGAGGTCAGGTATTTCACTCTCAAATCGGCTCAACAAAGGTAACTTTAAATTCTGTTGTGTGGAGAAAATATTTTAACTTGGTACTTGATGCTGGTGAAAATCCTCCTTCTGAAGTAACTGATTCTTGCACTATGGTTGGGTATGAGTTCAAGACCGCTTTAAACTCAATGTTGAAATGACCATATCCAGCGCATCTCGTGGAAAGCGATGCGTTCCCAAGAACCGTCACTGCTGGTAAATTGAAGATAGGTGATCGCATTCTCCAATGGATTGCGGCGCGCATTCTGCGGCCCAAGAAAGGAGGTCTTTCCAGAGTCGAACAAGCTGAAGTACATCTTATGTATCTTCTGAAGAATAAAATCAAAATCAACTGGCCCTACTACATCGCTAGTAGGATGTTTGCGTTAAGAGATTCTGGAAGAGGGACAACTCTATCTTATGGGTATTTTATCCAAGAAGTTCTTACTGCTGCTGAAGTTGTTTTTCCAGCATTCCAATGCATATCTCTTACTTCCGACAAAGAATTTGGGACGAAAACCCTTTCAATGATGGGTTACTTTTGGTGTGAAGAGCGAAGAAGTTACAAATTTGTTCGCAAGGCAACCACTCCTGAGACTGTTGAAGAAACTGATGATAGTGAAGAAAGTGAAGAAAGGGAAGAAGAGGAAGATGGAGAAGACGAAGAAGAACAAACACATGAGGAGCATGCAAGTCATCAATAAATGGATACAAATAAGTACACAAATAACAATTGGGCTCAATACAACACTCCAACTGATGAAGAAGAAACGAATATCAAGGTTAGGGTGAATGGAAATACACTGGATGGTCCACATTGAGAGAGTATTATCAGCCGTATCAAGGAAGTTCTGAAGCACCTTCATCTCCACCACAACAAAATACTTCTGAAATTATCAGCATGATGCAGTCTATGCAGTTGGATCAACAAAATTTTATGAGAGCTCAAGACGAGAGGTTCAGTCAAATACAAAGAGAGCTCCAAACGCAAAATGAAAGGCTTAACAACTTTTCCACAAGGATGGATGCTAGGTTTGAGGCTCTCACTGCATCTAATGAAGTCCAAGAAACGCCCGTCACTCACAGCATACGGTATTTGAATAGTGTTGTGGAGGCGTTCACCGACATGGCCGACCCATACCGCAATCCTCATTTCAATGAGAGGGGACGAGGACGAGACCGAGGACATTAGGATCATACGTGCATTTTTATGTTGCTTTTGTGTTCTTATGTTTCCTTTTTTTGTGTGCACAATGTTTGGTTTTTGCTTGTTATGTTTTTTATGAGCTTTTCATTGTACTTTCTCTCTTTATCTAAAATATGATTATCCATTGAGTTACTTTTTTATTATCCATATTTTGTGTGAATATTGGTTAATGCTAGTTATTACTTGCTGAGTTTTTTGTTGAATTGAACTTATTCTTCTTAACCTTTCTATTTCTCTTTTTGATGTGGTCAAAGGGGGAAAAGAGAGTGTATCAAAGCCAAGAAGATCACACCACCAGTTCACTAGTTTTTTTTGTATAGGATTGCAAAAGAAAGGGGGAGTTTATGTGACTATGTTATAAATATTGCAAGTTGTTCTCATTGGATTCACATAGGTTGTCATCATCAAAAAGGGGGAGTATGTGAGGACAAACCCTCGTGTAACACATGTTCTTGAGTTTCGATGATGACAAAACACAACCATGGATGAATCGATTTTATCGGCTCTACATCTATAAGACAAATGTAATATTTCACCTCTCATATCCTTCTTATATCCTTCATATTTGATTCAATATCTGTGGAAGAACATTGTTTATGTTTAGATGTATTAAAATCACAAAGATATACATTTTTACAAATGTACAGGCTTTGAGTCGACCATAGGTCGGCGCATGAAGCAGTACAATTTCCCACTGGTTGGCGCACGCTGACCTATGGTCGACCGCATGGTCAACGCATGAAGCAGTGCAATTCTCCACTAGTCGGCGCACACCGACCTATGGTTGACGCATGCAGTCAATCCTTTTCAAATTTCCTAAAACTGCAGGCTATGCGTCGACGCATAGTCCTGCTATGGTCGACCGTTCGCGCGTTTGTGCAGTTAGTGAAGTCTTTCTACTTTGGTTGAAAAGCTGTTAAGTGTGTTGGTTGGTTGGTTACTATATATAGAAGGTTTGTTCTTTTTTATCAACAACAATTGATATTTTGAGTCAATTGTGCAAGAAACAAGAAAAGTGAAATAGGTGCTACCAAATCTCTTCATCTTCATCCTCAACAATTCACAACACAACAATTACACACAACAATTCTTGTTGTGGTTTGTGTCTCGTTCAAGGTGATAAGGTCCGAAGCCGTTGATTGGGAATCCGGTTCGGGTTGAGTTTGTAGCAGGTTTTTATTGAATAAAACATTTAAGATTTTGCCCTCCAAGATTCGGAGAATTTGGGGGTTTTTAGTACGGATCGTCTCTACCAACTTCAGCTGAGCGAAGGTGATTGAGAAGCGGAAGATTTCGTCAATCTAGTAGCGGGAATCAGTGAAGTGTGCAAGAGAGTTCCGGGTTCGATTTGTGTGTGGTTGAGATCAGTCGGGCCGAGGGTTTGAAGAACGGAAGGTTGTTCGACAAAGGGGCTGGAATTGGAGGTCTACTCACAACGATCGAAGAACTTGATTTGACTCGAATCAAGGAACAAGGAGAGAAAAACATCATCAACATCAAGAGAGCTTGTTTGTATATTTTTCTTATGTATCCTTGTATAAAAATTTCAACTCTACAGGTGATATCTATTATATTGATCTCAATTCTAGATTTAGAATTGAGGGCAAACGTGCCCCGAAGCGAGGACGGCGGGGGAACTGCCTCAACAAATCTTTGTCTCCTTTATTTTTCAGCACTTGCATTTTGGCTTTAGAATTTGAGTAATTTTAGTATAAGCAATTCTATCAAAATTTGCATTGAGTTGAGTAAGTGCTTTTCACTATTTTGAACTCTAGTACAATAGTATATTGTACAAGGAATTTAGAGTTACTTACTCAAGTCAAAATTCACTTGGAGTGTCTCGCACACCAAGTGTTTGATAAGTTACCTAAACCAAAATTCACTTGGATTATTTGCATATTTTGTAGTGTTTGTGGAGCACTGGAACTAGTCCTACTTATTAGTGGTAAAATTAATTGATTAGTGTGACTAGTGTGTTGAATCTTATATTTTGCTCATTATCACTTCCATAAGGCTAGACGCATATCCGGTCTTCTAATAACGGTTTGTTTTAGATGGTAATTTTTCCACGGCCGCTTCCGCAAAACAAATATTTTTAAAACCAATTTTTAATTGGTAGCGCCGACTGATTTTTTAATTGAGATCTATTCAACCCCCTTCTAGATCCAAGCCATCGTCTAACATAACCAACCCCCGAACCTTATATCTCTTAGTTGCATTATTACATATCGCACTTAGGGTTTTCTTCGATCTTTATCCTTTTCTTTGGATAAATCAAAGTTCGGTGGTGAACTTCGTGATTTGTGATTTAAGTTAATTCAATAGATTGATATCTGATTCTCACCGCAACACACATGTTATTACAATTTTTTGTATAATTAAATTAAATATATTTAAAATAATGTGTAAAATATGTTTATTTATGTTACTAATATTTATTTATACATATATTATTGATATAATCATTTAACTGATACTTCATCAGTGACACAATGACTGATTTAGTTGACTTTTCACATAGATTAAGATTTTAAAAAATAAATAAAAGATAAAAAAATATGTATATTTTAAAATTTTAATAAATATTTCTTTAAATTCTATTAAAAATATTTAAAAGTAATATTAAAGGCGTATGATTAATTTTAATATGTTTGATTATTTTTTAAATTAAATTTGACTAGATCTTTAAAAAAATTTAACTAAAGTTTATACATGGAAATAAATATACTATTTGATCTTGACGGATGATTAGAACCTGAAGTGGGACAGAGACAATCGTCTATGATGATAGGTGTGAGAGAGGAGGAAGGGGTGTACCTACAAGACACTCTGATGCTAAAGTAGAATTCGGGAGAAAGAAGTGTTGGTCTAGGGGTAAATCGGTCGGTCTCCCCTATTGGAGGGGCAGAAAGATAAATGTTCTCTTAAATTGGTTTGACTTAGACAATTAAGTCGTTCTGAGAGCAGAAGTGAATTTGGTCATACTCAGCCCTTGGACTAGTCCGTAACACTATTAATTCAAAAAAATTATAAATAATTTTAAAACAAAAATAATATTTATATCTAAAAAAAAATTATTCTTAATTAAAATATTTTGATATATAAAAAAATATTATATACACATTCTTCTTATCTCTTTTAAAAATAATAAATTATTTTAATTAATCAATTTTGTATTTCTTTTATTTCATTTTTATTATAATTTGAAAGAAAAACATGGAATTTTACTAAAAACGTGATAAGGTTTACTGAAAAAAGAATAAAAGATAAGTCTTCGGAAATCAAGACGTGTCTCTGATAATTCTACCATATTCACGCAAAAACCTCACACTGACACAAAACGTGTGTGGTGTTGTGGTGGTTGCAACTTTGACGGAAAAGATGGAAGGGATGATGCAACTACCGTACAACACGACGGTGAAGCTCATGCTCGGTTCACTCGAACGCAACCTGCTTCCTGACGCCGTCATCAGAAGACTCACGCGCTTGCTTTTGGCCACTCGCCTTCGATCTTCTTACAAACCTTCTTCTGAACTTCAGCTCTCTGATCTTCTCCAATTTGCACATTGTACTTCTCTTTCTTCTATTTGATCTTACGATTTTGTAATATAAACATGATCTTGTTTTAATGTGTACTGTTTGATATGATATGATAACCTTTCAGCTTTACAAGAGATGCCTATTGCTGTTAGTACTGATAAGCCAAAATCTCAGCATTATGAGTTACCAACCTCTTTCTTTAAGCTCGTTCTTGGAAGCAATCTCAAATACAGGTACTTCTCAGTTTATTTATTATTTATCATGGAACATTTTGAAGTACAGATTCATATAGGGTGTGTAACTATGTAGTACCGTCATTTCTAATTAAGTTTAATTTATTTGATTTTAAAAATTATTAGGATTATTGTCGTGTTACTGATGTACTTCATAGTGTAAAATGAATTGTAGGTAGTAGCCTTGCTAGTGGCTATAGCTCACTTTACAGAAGCTATAAGCTGTTTTCATAAGCTATTCTGAAAAGCTTATAGAAATAAGCTGAAGGCAGTTTATAGACGATAAGCTTAACTATGTCAATCCGAATGGATCATGTGTAAAGATAATCCTTTTGTGAAGTAAAATAGATGTATGATAGGTGCAATTTGTTGGCAATGTCAAGTATTTGCCAAAAGAAAAGTAGTTAAATAAGCACATATAAGTTATAGCCTTATGGTTTCTGTAACATTCTTGAATATATACTTGTGCAGTTCATGTTATTTCTCTTCTGCCTCGAAGACCTTGAAAGATGCTGAAGAAGAAATGTTGAAACTGTACTGCGAGAGATCAAACCTGAAAGATGGTCATACAGTTCTTGACGTCGGATGCGGTTGGGGTTCGCTGACTTTATACATTGCCAAGAATTACAGTAATTCCAGGGTTACAGGAATCTGCAATTCCACAACTCAAAAAGCTTTTATCGAGGAGAAATGCATGTATGTTTCTTGATACTGTTATCATTTTGCTTCAGGCTAGTTTACGATTATTTTGTTGCACGAAATCAAGGTTTAGTTTGCAAAAAAACTTACCGTATGATGATCAAAATCACTTTGTTGCATTGGCCTCTTGTCAGGGAGCTGCAACTGCAAAATGTGGATATCATTGTTGCGGACATTAGCACGTTTGAAATGGAAGCTTCTTATGACAGAATATTTTCCATTGAAATGTTTGAGGTTAGATTTTGTTGGTAAATTATCTGCATTGAAGCTGTGTTTTATTAAATTTATTTAAGTTTTAACCTTGTCACAGCATATGAAGAACTACAAAGATCTTCTCAACAAGATATCCAAATGGATGAAAGAGGATGGTCTTTTATTTGTTCATCATTTCTGCCACAAAGCATTTGCCTACCACTTTGAGGTAAACTTCATATTTTCAGTTATTTTTGCTTGTGCTATTAGTTGATACCTTAGAAACACTAATCAATTTTTCAAAGACACTATACATTTAACTACTGTTACTTGCTACTTATTCATAAAGGACAAAAATGAAGATGATTGGATTACACGATACTTCTTTACCGGAGGAACTATGCCTGCAGCAAATCTACTTCTTTATTTCCAAGTAAGCTTACATGACAGTTTGCACCAGCTTTGTTCTGTAATGCCTTTATATCGTCGTGATTTTACTAACTTGTAATTGAATTTTTTTGTGATGTGTAAAGGATGATGTTACTGTCGTCAACCATTGGCTCGTAAATGGGAAGCACTATGCGCAGACCAGGTTGGAATATGCTACACTGCCCAATAAGTCATATTACATCAATAGTTTATTTGTTTACGAAACAAGTTTTAACTGTATTACTCAAGCATAATCGAATTTATTTTGCAGTGAAGAGTGGCTCAAAAGAATGGATAAGAACATGGCTTCCATCAAGCCAATTATGGAATCAACATACGGCAAAGATTCGGCTACTAAATGGACTGTCTACTGGAGAACATTTTTCATAGCTGTAGCAGAACTTTTTGGATACAATAATGGTGAAGAATGGATGGTTGTACACTTTCTTTTCAAAAAGAACTAAAGAAAGTCAAAACCACTCCTCTATTGATTTGCGAATTGAGTCCGGATTATGCAAGAGAGAAAGCAAAGAAGCTGTTCAACGAGGCTGCGAGCTTGAATAATTCTTGTTTTCATTGATAAACTAGTTTGATTTGGTAGCCTGCCTGTTTTTCTTTTTTTCTTTTTTGTCAGAGTGAAGTCTTATCTAGGAAAATAGATATCAGATACTAAAATACATTTGCAGTTGAAATAAAAGGCGAATAAAAAGTTAATGTGGAATCATTCAAACTTGCACAAAATTGCAAATCAATAGTTGAGAAGCAAACAATTCTTAATATTTGCTGCCAATTGCCACTTTGCCAGAATGATATTGTTGCTAAGAAAATTAAAAACTTAGCTCAACATGGAGTTTTCTGCTAGAGCTTGAGTTTAACTATGGTTGGTTTCATTGTAGAACTATCTCATACGCAGATGTAAGAGAAAACTACTCTTTGTAGCTTCTTAAAATCACATCATATGCATTGGAAAAGCGGTTTTATGAGTAACTGAATTTGAGAAAGGGTCTTCAGTAAAAAGCTTAATAAAAGGGTGCAGGGCTGTTTTCATTTTATTGAGCGTTACTCAAGATGGAACTAAAGGTAACCAAAGAATCACACTTGAAAAATAAGCAAACACAACAAATGCAACATAATTGTTATTCTTAAGAAATGTGGTTGGTCTAACTCAATTCTATAAAACCGGTTGGTAGAATGATGGTTACCCTCAACATAATTGTTATTCTTAAGAAATGTGGTTGGTCTAACTCAATTCTATAAAACCGGTTGGTAGAATGATGGTTACCCTCACTTATAAACACATATGCATGCTATATATTGTCTGATGTAAAACTCTTAACCGTTATCAAAGAATAATGACTCATTCTTGATTAAAAACTAGACATTGGTTTGCTTCTTAAAACTATTCATATCACAGTAAATACCCTAAAGTTTCTATGATTGTATAATTTAAACAAAACAAGGTAGAAATCATGGAAAAATAGAATGAAAAATACTAGTAATATATATCTTTAATTACAGAACAAGTCTTTCTCTGTGTGGCATTACATCAAACATGTGATATGCTTATCTTCCAAGTTACTGAGAAGCAACAGCAGTATCTTGAACAACGTTTTCACCTTCCAATATACGAATCATATGCTTATTTTCTAAATGCTCCTGAAAAAATGAACAGCAAAATGGTCATTAAACACTGAAAGAATAAAAGTGGTAATTACTAAGAACTTACAGAAAGGCAAGCTCTGTAATTTTGCCACTCGGAGACGCATTCTTCTTTGTCATATTGACCCTTGACGAATTTCTCCGTATACCACCTTCAGAAATAAAATTAGGGTTTAAAGGAGGAAGAAACAAATTATGGAAAAGAGTGTGTTTATGATGAATTGAATGAAACCTGTGGAAGCAATTGTGATATGCGTCTCTGAGAAAGGCACAGGGAGAGGTTGAAGGCTTTGAGCCTTTCTTCTCTCTCATGGACGAAACAACCGCGTCTTACGGCGGAGCATACAACAACTGACTACACCTGTGAATCTGTGATGGTGATTTAATGTTTTGTTTTTTATTTTTATTAAATAGTAGTAATAATGAATCAAAAATTATTTACAACACTTTTTCACTATATAGACATTTTCAAGGGTGCAGTGATCTTACTGATATTGCTTTTGAGGTAAGTTTGTAGTAAATGTTTATAGGTTATTAAATTTGTTTACACCAGCAAGGATGTTGTAGTTTAGTGAATTACTTACTATCAATGTGTAGGGAAGTAGCTATTATGCTGAGAGTGCGGACTCGTCATTCTATAAAAATGATGTAGGAGAGAGGAACAATCAATGGATATAGATGCAACTTTGATCTTGAAAATGTAGTTGTTTCGATAGTTGATTTAGTGAAAATAAATTCTAAAGAGACTTGTTATGAACAAATAATGATGTACCATTTTGTGGCTTTTATGTTTTATAATTGGTGGTGTCGATTAAATCTATATAACGTGCAAGTATACACGGTTCAATAGAGAAAGTGATAAAAAGTTTGAATATTGTTCTCAAAGTGAGTGTAATAATTTAGATTGATTTAAAAAAATATTTTTTGTGAATGAGCATCGGCAAAAATTAATGATAATTGATGTTTCTCACAAGTTCAATTTTTAAGGAAACAATAATATAACTTATATATTATGTATATAACTTATATATTATGTGTATATGATATGATATGTTGTGTTATATGAGGTTGAAATGTGATTTCATGATGTATTCCTACAACATCATAAGCATATACAAGAAAGTAAGGGGACAAATTTCTAAGTCTCACATTTAACTTTAATACACGTCTAATTTCATTCCAAATGTCTTCCATTATTGTAGTTTTTTTATGTCTAAAGTAATTAATCTAGTGAATATTTATATCCTATTATTTTATATCATATTTATCATGAGTTCCACTTGTTGATGGATTTCTCACACCAACAAGATTTTATCTTTTCCTGAGATAATCAGTCAAAGAATCAGATTTATAATAATAAAATGCATGATAAAATCAACCACTAACATCATATCAAATAACACAAAAGATTAAGTCACATAAACTTCGCATTGCTCAACATAACACAGTTTAGCTCATGATAAGCTTAGTACATACATCTATATTGATTCATAAGCTAAACATTCTTAAGCATATAATGAAAAAGAAATTAAAATCTAAGAGTAAATTCTTCATCTTATTGCAATCTTCAATTAGCAAGAGGCGAGTTTTGTCACGCCAGAGATGAATGCCTTATACTTGGGAAGAATAAAAGAGAAATTCTCCAACTTGATGTAGCTTACTTTCACACAAATATCTACCAAGTGTTTCTCTATGAGTCTGAACCTCTTTTCCATTTCTTTCAAGGGATCTTTTTATAGCCAGCCTCCTCTAGGGTTTCGTGAGGTATTGAATCATTGGATTTTTTATTATCCATCACTTTTGGCCCATAAGAGTCAACATATTCTCATCATTTCTTCTCATTCGTACCAGTACTAGAAGGGGTACACAGCGCATGCAAGGGACAAAGTGTTCGGTGGCAGGATTGCTGTGTAGAGGGGATAAGTCGCGCACTGCAATGGTTGTACTATTTTGCAGTTTTTTTGTCTTATAGCATTATGATTTTATCTTCTTTACTTTCTAGCTCAAGCGCACTCCAATTTTCTAATTGATGTCACGTATTCCATAAAACTATGAACATCCATTCTTTCTAACCTTCATTGCATTTTACACTTAGCTAAAATTTAGTGTTAAAGTGGTGTTCTGGTGTTGTCATGCCAGAACTTATCAAAGGTCATTCATACACATGTAACAAACGCATAAAAACTCACAAATGAGAGCACTTATTGTATCATTCATAAACTTACTTAAAACATAACAAATTACTTAATAACAAGATGAAATCAAGTATTAAGGGCTAGAATACCTCACACATAGTTAGTTATCACACCTTCAAACATAAATTATTATTTGTCCTCAAGTGATATAATAGATAATATGATAAAAGAAAAAATTTGACTTCCCTGTATCTCTTACTCTAGGAGCTCATTTCATATATAACTCGGAATTTATCTAAGAAGACCACATCCAAAATTTGGCACAACTTAGTCTTTTTACAATTTAGTCATGTTTGTGTGCGCGTGCGCGCGCGCGTGTGTGCACGTGTGTGTGTGTGTGTGTATTTTGATGTTACATGTCATGTCAGAAGTCTCCAGTCAAGATAATTAGCCTAAATTCTAATTTAGTTATTCTATCCTATGGTCCATGATTTCATTTTTTTCAGTTTCAACAGGGGGCATCAACTAACTTGATTTTTGTTGGCTTTTTAGTTCATTTTGAACTCGAGGCTTCTACTTGTATCATTTTTTCTTAATAAATGTCATATGCTCCACCTTTTCATCTGACGGGATCTCACTTGTAATGAGTCCAACTTATTACTAATGGTGAAGACACCCATTGTTTCCTCTAATTTCGGGCACATGAACTTTATTTATAATGTTGTTTGACATTTTTCATTCTTTTTGCACACTTTTGTATGTTTTTTTGTAAATGCATTAGATCCTTGTGCTAGCCTTATTTATTAGTGTTTTTCTCCCCTGAACTAACTCCTACAGTGAATCTTATTCTATATTTTAGATTAATTCAAACTTCTTAAGAGACTAACTATGTTTCTAACTTCTTATGGCTCAACATAATTTATCAAAAAGTCATAAATAGGTGCATTGATTCTTATCAAGACCTTGCTTTTAATATTGTGAGCAGTCCAATTAAAAGTCTCCTAAATTCTTAAAAATTCTATTATTTTAGAGATGAAGATAAATATTTTTCTTCTTTCTACTACTACTACTACTACTACTACTACTACTACTATTATTATTATTATTATTATTATTATTATTATTATTATTATTATTATTATTATTATTATTATTATTATTATTATTATTATTATTATTTATAAGACAAAATTGCACTAAAGCAAATATAAATATTTAGCTTCATTAACTAAAACACTTGAAATACAAAACAAAAGACAATAAAACTAATAAATAAAAACTAGAAAACAAAACATAATTAACTAACTAGCTGACTAAATTTATGACATAAGTTGTTGTACCCCCAAATATAGAGTAAGGATAGGGTCCTTACTGTCATTTGGTGAGTTCTGGCACACCATGACTTAGACACTACAAAAAAATAATAGTTGATGATGATTAGGAAATACCAGTTGGGCTTGAAGCCTGTTGCTTTTCTTTGTGGCTTTTTCTTGCTCTGCCCTCTTCCTCTTTTTCACTTCTTCTTTCTTCGCAACCTATTTATCTTGTGTATGCGCCTTGCTTTTTACCTGGGGAGCATTAACGAATGTTTTCATGTCTTTTGATTTCTTAGAGGATTTCGATTGTCCACTGTTGCTCTCTTTTTTATGGCTTAGTAATGACTTCGGGTGCGACAACAATAATGTTCCTTTAACCTTCTTTATACTCTTCTTTTTCTCATGGCTTTTCATTTTGAGATGGCTTTTGCTGGACTGGGGGCTTTGAAAGGGATGACGACCTTAGCTGGGATTTTGATGAATTCATGGAAGACATGCATTAGCTTTTCAATTTATGGTTTAACAATGCTTATTTTTCTTAGAGGTTGTTAAGCTTCCTCATTTTCCTCCTCTTCTAACAATTAGGTGTCATCCTCTAATGTATCAAGTTCTTACACAATCAATTTTTAAGTTTCAGCCTCTGCTTCGTCCTCAACACCCTTTTCTTCATTTTGTTCTTGCTCCCATTTCTCTTCAACAACTTGTTCTTCCTCTTCACTCTTATTGTCTTCATCATTGTCAGGTTTTTCCATTGCTTTGTGTTCTTCATATTCCTTTCCTTCTTTTTCAGCTTCCTCCTTAATTTCTTGTTCAATGTTGTCTTCCTTAACAAAATCATTGTCACTTAACTCTTATTTATCTTAGTTAGCTTCCTTAATCAGATCATTAATGGTTCACTCGTCTTCTAAATCTTCCTCCTCAACTGGTATCACTACAAGAAACCTGTGTTTTAGCATCGGCTAAAAGCCCTCTCTAAAAGAAAAAAACCTGACGCTAAAAGGTGTTAGTGTCAGGATCGAGGCGGACATCTCATAGCTGGAAGAAAACCTTAGCATTTAACTGACGCTAACTCTAGTGTCGTCTAAGCGCAACGTTAAATGGACGCTAACACATAAAGTCGACGCGAGAGTACAACCATGTTTAGTGTTAGCATGGGTCCGAATCAACATTATTGCGTTGTGTGTATTTTATTAACATCAGCTAGGGAGATGCTAAATACTAAATATAATCAACTAGTGTCGGTCTAAGTGAACATAATAGTGTTGTATTCCTTTATTTAGCGTCATTAGTAGGCGACACAACTTTATAGCTATTACCAAGTAGCGTCGGTCATAGGCAACATTATTCTATTGTATTTGTTTATTAGCGTCGATTGTAAGCGACACTAACTTAACTACACCATGTAGCGTCAAAATGTATCGTCGACTTTTGTCGACGCTAAGTTTATTATTATTATTTTTACCTACCAAACTTATTTGGAAAGATACCTACTTTTAATTTCTCATTTTAGAGTCTACCAAAACATGTTTAGGATAAACGTACTTTTAATTTCTATTTTTAGGACACATCAATGAAATAACAATGAATCGTAATTAAACCATATAAGCAATATCATACATAACTTACATAGAGCAAATATAACACTATATCATACATAAGTTAAATTATGAGTGAAATTCTTAAGAAATCAACAAAGATACTCAATACATCATGACATATTTTAACTGTTTTTGAAACCAAATTAACTATGATAATACATAGATTGAAAAACTGGAAATTTGATACCCCAACCATAAATCAATAATGTGTCAAGTAAATAAATTATCAGACAAAAGCAAGATAGAACGAACTAGGGATCTGC